AAACTAAAAGATCACAGTGTAACACAGGCCCACTGGGGCTGGAGGAGCTGGAAACATTCACCCTTAGACACTGCCATGTCTAAGGTGCCCCACACCTGGCAGTCTGTATGCTCCCCTGGAGATCTGAGCAGCAGGGCAGTGAAGAAGCCAGCCAGTCCTCCTGTCGCACACCCTGAGAAGGGGACAAGGGGACTTTTTCCATTTCACTACTGTATCATCAATTTGATAAACATTTTAAAAAAATTAAAAGGATGAAACATTTTTAAAGAAAGACATGTCAATTGTCATTATAATAATTAAATCTATTATATATGCTTATTTATTTTATATCTAATCACCTGTCAAAAATTGAAAGTGGTGATAACATGTCCTGAAATGATTGCATTGTTTTACTGTTTTTCCTTCTTCTCTAGCAATTTCTGTTCTGTATATGTCAAAACCATGTTATTTGCTTCTTGGAGTTTGATTCTATTATATCTTCAGTGTGGGTAATAACTTTTATCTTCCTTCCCTTTGCTGGTTTTGTTTTGGAAATAATTAATAGTCTCACTCCTTTATTTAGTTGTTTGCTGAATACACCTTTGTCCATCCTTTCATTGTTTACTTTTTTGTTATTTTTGGGGGGTGATTCTTGTGTATAGAACATATTTAGATTTGGAGTTGCCACATTTCAATCTTTGTGATTTAATAGTGGGTTTAATCTTTTTTTTAATTTATGGTTGTGCCTGAAATATTTAATCACATGAATATCACTGTGTTTCATACACAGTTTATTTTGTGCTTTCTTTCTGTTTCCTTTTACTTACTTTTTCCTACATGGATATATTTGCTTAATTTCTATAGTGGCTTAGAAGCTACCCTGTTTTATGTTTCTACTGATTACTTAATAATTTAATATTTAAAACGTATACTGCAATATGTACATTTAAGTTTTTCTACATCAGTACAGAAGTGTTATCTATTGACTTCCTCTTATGATGGATGAGAAATGAAGCAGGCTTTACTTCCTCTACCCAAGCCACCAACCCAAATCCACTTGTTAGTTTTAATAAACAATATTCTGGATTCTTAGGTCCAATTTAATCTTAATATATACAATGTATCTTTTTATTTATAATTGTTTTTATATTTACATGAATTTTATAGCTGTTGATTAAATATGACAGTGCTCAAATAGTTTCAGTGCTTACCAGCTGTATACTGTAACTTCCTCATTTTTTGTGATATCTATTTTAATTAATCTCTTGGTGAAATATTTTTTTCAAAAGTGAATGTGGGCAGTGTATTTTCTGAGAGTCTGCATGTGAGGAAAGAACCTTCTTTTGCCAAAACACAAGACCAATAATTTGGCTTGGTATAGGGTTTTTCAGTGATAACATTTTCTCTTGGAAAAAAAAAAAACTATTCTATTTTTTTCTACTCTGCATTTAGTAATAAAAGGACAATTCTGATGTTGGCATTTAAATAATTTTGTATTTTAATGTGATTTTAAAATTATCAGATCAGAGATCCAGTTATTTTGAGGGAAATAGTGTATCAGAACCCTGAGTAAAAATTCAACTACCAGCCTTTGCCTCTCTTCCATTTCTTCTGTGTTGCCTTCTCTTGAAAGAGAAACAAAGCCTTCACAGTATGAGGCTTTTACCATACGCATAGCTGCCCACACCAGAGAGAAATGCATAGTGCCACTGGGGCCCACCTACGTCGGGAATCATCCTTTATGCTGTCAAATTTGTGCTTAATATGAACTGTTTATGCCAGAAAGAATGTCAGTACCCCCCTTAATTCCACTGGTGGCACCCAAAACTGTATGTTCAACAAAGAGAAAAGCAATCTAAGTTGTGTGCCCCCTGAAGACTGCACACCTACTTTGCCTCCATCATTCACTTCCTGATTTAGGTAATGAAAACTATTTTATTCCCCATCCCCAGCCTTCCATATTCATGTATATTTATGAATCTAACTTTTGCTCTTCATAAAAGGAGATGTGTGGCCCAGACTCTAGTCTTGGCACCACCAACACAAAGCAAAAACTCCTTAGCATAAAAGCAGGTCACAGAGATCCAAGGAATACCTTCTGAATGGGTCTATTTTGACTTTTGCTGAACTACACTTTGGTTTTCTAGGCCATCTTCATTTCTGAGGGACATTAAAAAAAAAAATTCTATGAAACTCACTCACACATTTATTTGTTGTAAGATATTGGTGATTGTAGTGTTAATTAGGCTTCACGGTAAGGTGTTCACCTGCTGGTTCAGCCTTAACCTAGATTTTAAAACCTATCTTTTCCTTAAGCAGATACATTTTAAATCTTGTTCTTATGTTATGTTTTAATCTTCAGTTTTAGACTATTGTATTGTAACTCAATTTTAGTAACTGAATCATGCTCTAGTAATACTGTATCTTTCGAATCAGTTCTTTATTCTGTCTTGTCCTTACCAGTCTTCCTGGGTATTAGGGTGGTTTCCCTAAACTCAAAATTCTATGACAGAATGGTTTCTATATGGTGCTAGAGGGACTGCCCTGAGACTAGGCCTTCCTGGCCAGTACTTCTTAGCTTCCTTTTCCCATGCATTTATTGATCATTGGCTGAACCTTTCATCAGAGCCTGCTCATTGCCTACCAAGTGGCCATTACAGGGGTTTTTCCAGATACTTCGTCATAACTCAGTGAACTTATGTGTTCCCAAAAAGTTACATTCCTAAGTCCAACCTGTTCCGCCATCCACCAAGCCCTTAGTTCTGATATCATGCTTATTTTTTACTAGAACTAAGGAAATGTTTAATTATCTGGATTTGCCTATGGGTATCTAAAGTCTTATGCAGCAGCAATAGATATTTGTAAAGGCATTAACTGAATATGTCATAATGTATGGGGGAGGTTTTTCAGGCTCATTTCTAGTAATCTGATACTAAAATCCGGTTTGTTGAAATTGACATGATGCCTACTCCATAGCACATGATTTTACCTGTTTTTAGTAACTGACTTGTACTTAGACAAATGTTTTTCGTTTTCCATAATTATTCTCACGAAGGAAATAATAAGTGGCTATTCTTCACCACTGAGTAACACAAATAAGCAAGAAACACAAAAGGAGCTCAACCTCTTTTGTTTGCCTCTAAGTAAACCTTAACAGTATTTCTACAAGGCTTTCCCAGTAAGTAGAAATCTATTTTTATTTTTATTGTGTGTAAGTCAAGAAATGACTATAAAACCCTGGAGGGATGAAATTTTTCAGAAATTCTCTCTGAATAGTCCCTTTAGAAAGTATGAATTAAAAATTTCTAATCTGAATCTGATAATAAAAGGATAAAACAATCTGACCCTTTCAATAAAAAATGGTTTCTATGATAGTCTTTTTATCTTCTTGAATCTTGAGCTGATATGAATTTGCGCATAGTTATTTCCATTTATCAGTGAGCGTTTACTGAGTGCCTTCTCCCAGTAAGATCCTTTGCTAAGCACTTCAATTATGCAACTTCACTCCATTTCACATTAGACTTCCAAGACAAGATCATCATCACCATTTTACAGATGAGAAAATTGACCCAGAACTTCCTAATGCCTCTCACTATCAAATGGAACTCTAACACAAACATTCTGGATAGGTAAGGAAAAGAGACCTGATCAGTACTATGGCAATATTGATCTGGAGCTAGTGATGCTGTGAAAAAAAAATATGTGTTTTCTTTTATTTAAAAATAAAACCATTGGGCACTGTTTTTTTTTTTTTAATTAGTGGGCATAATTTATAAATCGTAACTCATTTGGTCTTCATAACAATACAAGTAATATTATTACCTCCGTTTTAGACTTGAAAAAACTGAGGTACAGAAAAATTAACGAATATGCTCAAGATAGGAAGTGGTGAAGCAATATTTCAGATCCCAGCAGGCAGGCTTCATGGTTTATCCTCGTCTCTACCATGCTAAAAACAATGTTAGGATAACACAGACAAGTCTGTGCAGACTGACAACCAGTAGTAACATTTCTTCATAATGCTTTCCACAGATTTGAGTTTTAAATTTTGCATGTAGCTCCACTGATTAAGAATAAAAATATTTTATCCACCTTTGTTAGGTCTTTTAAAAGTATAGTAAAGGATAAAAATCATTGACTGGTAAAGGAAGATAAAATGAATGTTCATAGTGCTTTCTCCTTTGGAAAAGATCTTTTCTAAGAAATGCATTATTCATTTAGGGTATTATAACAAAGCTGGAACATTTGAGTGAAACATATTCATAGAAGCATTAAATTTGAAACGCAAAATGTAAAAAAGTAAACACTATGCAGAAGTCATTCTCTGCAGAGAAATTTTAAGTCAACCTAACTTTAAACCTTAAGTTCATACATCTTCAGCAATAATAAAGAGTTGTTTATTTGTAAATAAGTGAAATAAACCTTATCTCATGATATGTATTAGTAAAGGCAGCACCAGAGTACATGTTTTAAGATTTATTTTATTCATTTATATTTTGCATTTTTGTATCTCCCTGCTGTTCCTTGGGCATTTATTTCTTGGACCTCTTTTTCAGTCAGTGTCTGCCCCCTGTGGTAAACTGAGGAGGCAGCAGTCAAATGTCTACGTTCCTGCAGGTTACAGTGTGTGTGAGGGTCCCTGCAGTTCAGCACAGAACCTGCTCTCTGGTTTTCTTAGAAGGTGTGGCAGGTTCAGTGGAGGACTAGAGGAGGGGAAAATAGTGGTTGAGATGCCCCCTGAAGGGAGCTACAGCGTGGCAGGGCCTGACACTGGCATAGATTTGGGGCATCTGTGATTGCAGCTGGGAAACACGCTTGCCCAGGAAACAATCATGATGGAGTAGAGAGGCTTGCTGTTTTCTCTTTGTGTCTGGGAGACCATATTATTGCTCAAGCTTTTAAGGTTTTAAGGGAAATGAGCTCATTTGACCTGGCAGAGACCATAATTATCAATCTGTCAAATCCACATTTGTTAGACAGTGGTTGTGCTTTGTGGAAAAACATAAATCAAAATGGTGACATCATATATTTAATATTTTACTTTATTTACAGATAGCATTTTAATTATCCACAGAGAGATATACACCTAGTTAAAATGGGCAGTTACGCTAACACCAAATAGAAAGTATTTTTCTTTTTTCCAAACGTTGATATTCTGGCACTGTCCTTATTAAATTTTTTGTTAACACATTGAATACATTTGTAAGCAGCCTGGAGAAAATAAGAGGTTAAAGGAAGTGAAGAAAGATGGAATGCACCAGCACTGACTCTGAATGAATATATTTCACCTCTATTGATTGCTTATAATTCATTTTTTTCTGTTGTGACAACATCCTAGTTATGGAAATACCATTGACTTCAGCTTAGAAATGGGAATTTAGATACCTGACTTGAGTCAAGTGTGTTGGGAAGAAGCAGGGCAGCTCACAGCTTTTTGAAGCAGTGGAAGGCAATATATCAACTGAACAGTTAAGAGTTCTGGATCCACTCCCAGGCCTCTCACTCATCTACTCCATGGCCTTGAGTAATTTGCTTAACCTTTGTGCCTGATAATTTCCACATACTGTGTAAGAAAACGTTCAGACACTTTAAAGCAGGGTACAGAGACAACAGACAAAGATAGTGGTTCCAGGGATTGCTTCTCCACAGATTGCCATGCTAAGTGTTTTTACCACAAAAAAAGTGCAGGGTCAAGGGGACAGAGGAAAACATTTGGAGATGATGGATATGTTTATTATCTTGATTGTGGTGATAGCATTGCCAGTACATACATACATCCAAACACATCAAACTACAGAGTTTTTAATTTATCAATTATATCAAATTGCAGTTTTTTATTTGTCAATTATATCTCAATAAAGCCATTTAAAAGAGGAGAGAAAGAACTCAGCAAGCTATGAAGAAACATGACTGGAAAGGTTACTTACAAGATGCTAGACATTTAAGAAGTGGGATGTTCTGGGAGATATAAAACTCATCATCACTGAGGGCAGCTAGCTCTGCAGGGACTTGCTCTGCCTCCAGGAAACAACTGGATAATTTTCTTCCCTCCCATTCCACACATAATATTAGTGAAAAAAAATTGGAAGACTTGATTCTCCTAGGGGGAATATTAAACCATAGATCAGAGAAAGGAAATATGACCTCACAATGTTATGCCCACTCTATATGTCATACATATGTAAAGCGACCAGCAGTCTTTCCCAAACATGAAAGATATCAAGGATTCTAGAACCCAAAGACTCTTCTCAAATAAACTATTTGACAATAAAATTTAACAAGTCAAGCAATACATCAAAGAAAAGAAATACAAAAAAGAGGTGTGTCAGCATTGAATTTATGGTTACAAAAAAGAATGTATTATAAGTTTGACAATATAAAAACACACCTTAAGAAAAATGAAGACCTAAGAGAGGAAGTCAGGAAATATAATTATATTTGCAAAGCATGGCATTAATCAATATTGTCCAAAATTAGAATATAAAGTTAAAATAACACAATGAGTCAAACTTTTAAAAAATGTAAAAACAAGATTATTATTCAATAACTGTTAATTAAGATGATCTATAGTAGGACAAGATTTTAAGCACTTGATGTACTAAAACCCAACACATGATCCCACAAAACCATGACACACAGCTGATTCAATCTCTGATTTTCAACTATAAAACATAGAAAGCTGCCTACTTAATTACTACTCCTTCCCTTTTAGAATCCATATATTTGGGAGCTCCCTCTGGTGGTTGAATAAAATATAATTTCCATATTAGTTTATGCTAAACATTTTTAAATAAAATAAAAAGCTATGATCTACATTCAAATTACTTCCTGAAGAATATGAAAGTCTTCTTATTTTTAAGATATGATACCCATCATGATATGGTGATGACAGTGATTTATGATGATGATGATATAAAGAAGGATTCTTTTTATTCAACTCTTTGACTCATGTTGATTGTCGTAATTGTAGACAATGTGGTTGGAAACAACCTAGCCAAAAAAAAAAAAAAAAAAGCAGAAAAGGCAAAATTTGTTAGAAACAAATTGTACATTTATAAATAGTGCAAAATTTTAAAATTTAAAAAAATTCTAGAAAATGAAATGGAAATTAATAAAACATCCTGGGGCTCACAACAGTACAAAATATTCCAACAAACAGGGCATCAAGAACAATGAAGATGCTACATAATAACATTTTCATTATTACAACAAATGTGTCTAAACAACTTTTCGTTTTACCTAATTTTTCTATTAACCAGAGCAAGCAGAGTAGCCAGCAGAATGAGATATTCCAGTGATACACTTTTTAACCCTAAAATCTCCTGAGAAAATCCTAATGCACAGCCTCTGCCCTTTAATTGGATGAGGTCTTGTCATCTAAACACTGTCTATAGGCTCTTGCCATGACTACTGGACTCTAGGACTGAGTACTCACACAATAATGCCAGGAAGTACTTTGCCATTGCCAAGCCCTAGTGACTCTATGCACAGGACCCGATTTTCTCCTGAAATACTGACTCCCACTCCTTAGTCTGCCCTGTCCCTTTGCCTAACACTTTGTTTCCCCCTAGGACTTGAAGAATTTTCTGAACTCTGGGTTATGTGCCTGAGACCAGAGACCAGACGTAGGTCAGTCCTTTTCTTTTTGCATCTGCACCATAGGATGAGGGTCCTACTATCAAGCGTTAGCTCTCTAGGAAAGACTGCCTGGCACCACCTTTCCAACCATGCTGTGAATCACACCTTTTGTGCCCCATTTGCAGGATGGTATCACTTGGTGTGCATACCTCCAGAGTTAAGAATAAGAGGGATTCAGTATTCCAGTTACTCCAGTCACCACCTGAACACCCTCCAATGGGCCAGTTTTGACAGTGAGGTCAATGTTCTCAACAACCCTGGCTCAATCCCCAGATTCCAACAAGACCTCAGCCAGCCTAATACCAAAGGTTCAGTTGAGATACCTGTATCCAAGCTTATAACTGAATTATTTCTACCACAACAACATTGAGAATTAGTATGAGAAAAAACATTCTAAAAGCTGTAAAACCCATGTACATTACAGATTAACAGCAATTAGCTTTGCATTTCCATTAATACAGAGTCCTATCAGACACCTTATATATTAAATAAAATCTGTGGGTCTTTCTGAGATTCTGAGTATCATGACTAACCATTGTTTTTCAAACAAAATGCACTAAATTCTGAAGCAGTCATTGGCAGGGCTCACTCCCTGAACAGCTAGTCAAACTAACTATAAAAGGAGTAGCACTTGGTAGACATAGGTAAAAGGTGCTGTGTTGCAAGATGTTTTCCAAAAAGAAAGCGTGAAACAATAAGATTCTGTCATCATTTTGATACTTTTTCTGCATCTAAAAGAATATCTGCCAATCAAAATAAATAAGGGACAATTCAAGATGGAGAATTAGCACACAAATTCTACTTGGCTTCTTGTTTCTGGCGTCTGCGAGAGAGTATACCTTAATGAAATCTGTCCAAAGGAGTTGTGCCATGTCACAACGTAATGTAACGAGCTGCTAATATGTAGGCACAATGCCCTTCTTCTAGGTATGTTTAGGTTAGTCAAAGGGTAGAACAAGTCCGCCCTTAATCACAAAATTTGCTAAAATGCAACTAAGTAGAAAAGTCAGTGTGCCTTTACATCTTTAAACACTGAGATTGACATTTCCCTAGTAAATGTGTGCATATGCGTGTTCATATCTATTCTTCATTATTGCCTGATTTCATTCTCACAGGCCATTAATTTCAGCTACCTTAAAACTTTTCCCATATACAAAATTATTTAGCCCATAAAGAAAAAGATGCTGTGGAAAATGTAGCACAACAGTTTCTGTTAACATGAACTTATGCAAACAAAAATTATCTTCTAAAAATTTTCATATTTTAATCACAAAAAATTATAGTAGCCATATGAGTGCCTTCATCAGGACTACTGGCATAAACTTCAGACTTTCTCCTAAATCATACATCTGCCAAGAACCAAATGACACATCCTACTATGCAACCTCACAACACATGTGACTCAAAGCCGTGTCTCAGCAATATTACAAGTCACCACATTGGGCAGTTATGGGGTTGCTCTTGATTTATCAAAACTGTGAATGTTTGCTGCTTCAAGGTAGAGGGTTCTGCTGCTATAATTCACAACCTTTACAGGTTACAGCTCATATGCTGTCTTAGTTCATTCTGTGCTTCTGTAACAGAATATCTGAGACTGAATAATTTATAATAAACAGAAATATATTTTCTTAAAGTTCTGGAGGTTGAGAAGTCCAAGATCAAGGGTCTAGTACCTGGTGAGAGCCCTCTTACTGCATCATCTCATGGCAGAAGGGCAAAAGACCACTCAGGTGAGAGAATGGGAAGGAGGCCAACCTCATCCTTTGATCAGGAATACAGTACTGCAATAATGGTATTAAGCTACTCATGAGAGCATGCTTAGTTTTAGCTTAAGGGTCCCACCTCTCAACACCATTGCATTGGGACTGTTTCTAACAAGTGGACTTTGGGGGACACATTAAAATCACAGCATATGCTAAATGGCAACGACAATCCATTCCCATGTCAATTTCTTTTTTTTTTTTGAGATGGAGTTTCGCTCTTGTTACCCAGGCTGGAGTGCAATGGCGCGATCTCAGCTCACCACAACCTCTGCCTCCTGAGTTCAGGCAATTCTCCTGCCTCAGCCTCCTGAGTAGCTGGGATTACAGGCATGTGCCACCATGCCCAGCTAATTTTTTTTGTATCTTATTTTTTTAGTAGAGACGGGGTTTCACCATGTTGGCCAGGATGGTCTCGATCTCTTGACCTAGTGATCCACCCGCCTCGGCCTCCCAAAGTGCTGGGATTACAGGCGTGAGCCACCGCGCCCGGCCCTCCCATGTCAATTTCTGACAGAGTAGTTAAAACATTTTCCCTCTTACTCCCACTTGAAAGATTATGTCAGAAATCAGTGACAATGACATCATTATAAGCATAACCTAGATGTTAAGTTTTATATTTTTAAAAACCATGTAATATCACAAACTTAGAAATATTAGTAACTTGGAACGTATCTCACAATGACTCACAATACATCTGTATATTACAAGAGCATGTTTTAAAAGTGTTGATCTATAGGTTTCAACGTAAAGCAATGGGATTTTTACAGCACTTTACATGCATTCTTCATTTAGTTCTCACAATATCCTTATAAAGTAGCAGATGAATCTATCATTTCTCTCATATTAAAATTTCCTTTCACACATTTATGGGATCATGAATTAAGCATGGGACAAATATTTGCTGCATGGATACAAGAGAAGAGAGGACGGAATTATTTCTATAATTACATTTATAAGACAAACATTTAGAAGATTTTTTATTTCTTCTTAACTCCTTCACTTACAATTAGGAAATGATACTGTTATATCAGTAGTTTCTAGTGTTCGTTATACTAATTTATTTTTTCTTTTTGATAATTTATAGAAAAAATAAAGGCACCGAATATAATAAGTTCTAGGAAATACTGCATATTATGTCTGTCTTGAAAGTTCACAGTGTTCTTTTGCATATTCATGGTTTCAAAAAGTCCTTCAGTAAGAAACAACAGACACTGGGGTCCACTTGAGGTTGAAGAGTAGGAGGGAGAGGAGCAGAAAAGATAACTATTGGGTCCTGCACTTAATAGCTGGGTGATGAAATAATATGTAAAACAAACTCCTGTGACACCTGTTTACCTATGAAACAAATCTTTTATATAACTCCAAACCTAACATAAAGGTTAAAAAAATAAAAAATTAACAAAAACCTCCCTATCTGGAAAAAAAAGTCCTTCAGTAAATAATCATGTTTAATTTTGTTTCACTTCCATTATTAACAGTTTTTGGGCATGGAAACTTTTTCTCCTATAAATGCTGTTGACATGATTTAGAACTGACTTCTGTAGAACATACTTTGAGAACCACTACATGAAATATTAACTGTCTCAGGGTTCAAATAATCAAGCACCCTATAGATGTTTTATTCACTCATTTTTATATAGGAGAAAAAAATATAGGTTACTTCTTACGAGAATTTCTTATAAAGGACTCTTCTGAGAAACTGAGAGAGATAACCAAAAATAAATACAAATGAGAAAGAAAATGTTTATCAATTCCAAAACCAGTAAATACTGCCAATGATACACAGGTTGAGAACCCCTTGTCCAAAAATTCAAAATCCAAAATACTCCAAAATTTGAAAATTTTGAGTACTGATATGGCCCCACAAGTGGAAAATTTTACACCTGATTTCATGTGGTGGGTTGCAGTCAAAGCACAGACACACAGCGCAAAATTTCTCAAGCATCCCAAGAGAAAAAAGACTCCCCCAACACTCTCCTGCTGCAATGTATCTTTTCTGAGCACAGCATGACAGTTAAACCAAATAACCTCAGATTGTCCACATGAGTGGCTGAGTTAGTGACACCTTTCCTTGCTGATGATTTAATGCACACAACATTTGTTTCATGCACAACATTATTAAGAATAATTATCTTCAGACCATGGTCATGGGGTGTATATGAAACATCAATGAATTTTATGTTTAGATGCAGGTCTCATCACCAAGATATCTCATTATGTATATTTGAATATTTCAAAATCCAAAAGAAAACCCAAACTCTGAAACACTGTGGTCCCAAGCATTTCAGATAAGGGACACTTACCCTGTATCACAACTTTCTGGCAGGAATCGCTGCTAGATACAGTAAATTTGAATCAGTGTGAAGAAAAACATCAATGATTGATGTGCAACTTCCCTTCGTGAAAATGTGCAGTTTTCAGGGAAGTAATTAAAGCAAATTCTGCCACTTCTCACTTACAGTAAGTAATTGGAGAACAGGCTGACATCACAGGCAGCCTTGAGAGAAATGGGTTTCTGCCATAGACTGTCCCTGCCCCAAGCTAAGCAAACTCAGAAAAATGAACAGCCACTCCTCAGTGTATTGTTAT